TTTTTTTTAACCTAAGATGACCTAAGGTTAAAAAAAGAGCAGGAAAGGTTTTTTTTTCCTGTTCTTATCTTGGATTTTTGTTCTCAAGTAGAATCAAAATTCAGCAAATGGAGCTGTTCTTAAGTTGGATTGTTCTTAAGTAGGGACGTTCTTAAGTAGAGACCCCACTGTAGTTAGTCTAAGAGAGAATCAAAAATGTTTGGCAGCAAAGCATTCTGCTCAGACGTTTCCAAAATCCTTCTGGTTGGTGTGAAGTTCCCATGTTGGATTTCTCATTTCTTCAAATTGTTTTTTACTGATATTTTTCAAAAATTGCCTTTGCAATATATACCTATGTTTAACCTTTTTTTAAAAAATCTACAGCGTAGTACTTTGTGACATTTTTTAATTAAAAAAGTGTAAAGAAAACATTATTTGCATGTTTTGGATGGTTTTCAAATAAAAGCAAATTACACTTTACTTCCAGACTCAGAACATCCTCATACCTTGAGAACAAAGTGGGTGGATGAAATGAATTGCCAGATCAGGAATTTTCCAGGAAATATTCAGAATAGGAACCAAAAGAAATACAGATGAGTTTTGTAATGGGGGGAAGAAAACCAGATTAAAGAAAAAGATATCATTTATCACCCAAAAAGAGGATGTTTAGGACTACCAAATATTAATAAATTTTATATTTGTTCTTGTTGTTTAGTCATAAAGTCATGTCCAGCTCTTCGTGACCCCATGGACCAATTAAGAGTCATTCCAGATATTATAACACAAAATAAGGAAACAATATGGAATGACAGAATTACTGTACAAGAGTTATATGAAATGGGAGAGTTACAAAAATACTTCCAATATAAAGAAAATAATAATAATATTAAAAAGAATAATTTTTAAAAGATCCAGAATACCTTTATAAAGAATGTATTAGAAATCTGGAATAAATGGAGACAAGTATTTTGTCCTGGAATATCAGCTTTAACTCCAGTAATGGAGTTTGAAAGTTTCCCAAGATAGGGGATAAAGGAACTAAAA